ATTTAAAGCAATTTTGGTTTCGATCATAGTAGGCTATTTTCAAAAAAATATCGATTTTTTATCTATGTTAACATTCTTTATCATTTATAATACATAGATATGTTTTAAAATGCAATTTAAAGCATTTTGGTTTCGATCGTAGTAGGCTATTTTTAAAAAAAATATCGTTTTATATCTATATTATCATTCTTTATCATTTATAATACCTAGATAAGTTTTAAAATGCAATTTAAAGCAATTTTGGTTTCGATCATAATAGGCTATTTTCAAAAAAATATCGATTTTATATCTATATTAGCATTCTTTATCATTTATAATACCTTGATAAGTTTTAAAATGCAATTTTAAGCGTTTTTGGTTTCGATCATAGTAGGCTATTTTCACAAAAATGTCGATTTTATATCTACATTAGCATTTTTTATCATTTATAATGTTTTAAAATGCAATTTAAAGCATTTTTGGTTTCGAACTTAGTAGGTTATTTTCAAAAAAAAAATCGATTTTATATCTATATTAGCATTCTTTATCATTTATAATACCTAGATATGTTTTAAAATGCATTTTAAAGCATTTTTGATTTCGATCATAGTAGGCTATTTTCAAAAAAATATTGACTTTAAATCTACATTAGCATTCTTTATCATTTATAATACCTAGATATGTTTTAAAATGCATTTTAAAGCATTTTTGGTTTCGATCGTAGTAGGCTTTTTTCAAAAAAAATATTGATTTTAAATCTACATTATCATTCTTTATCATTTATAATACCTAGGTAAGTTTTAAAATGCAATTTAAAGCATTTTTGGTTTCGATCATAATAGGCTATTTTCAAAAAAAATTATCGATTTTATATCTATATTAGCATTCTTTATCATTTATAATACCTTGATAAGTTTTAAAATGCAATTTTAAGCGTTTTTTGTTTCGATCATAGTAGGCTATTTTCAAAAAAATATCGATTTTATATCTATATTAGCATTCTTTATCATTTATAATACCTAGATATGTTTTAAAATGCATTTTAAAGCATTTTTGGTTTCGATCATAGTAGGCTATTTTCAAAAAAATATTGATTTTAAATCTACATTAGCATTCTTTATCATTTATAATACCTAGATAAGTTTTAAAATGCAATTTAAAGCATTTTTGGTTTCGAACATAGTAGGTTATTTTCAAAAAAATATCGATTTTATATCTATATTAGCATTCTTTATCATTTATAAAACATAGATATGTTTTAAAATGCATTTTAAAGCATTTTTGATTTCGATCGTAGTAGGCTATTTTCAAAAAATTATCGATTTTATATCTATATTAGCATTCTTTATCATTTATAATACCTAGATAAGTTTTAAAATGCAATTTATAGCATTTTTGGTTTCGATCATAGAAGGCTATTTTCAAAAAAAAAAATATCGATTTTATATCTATATTAGCATTCTTTATCATTTATAATACCTAGATAAGTTTTAAAATGCAATTTAAAGCAATTTTGGTTTCGATCATAATAGGCTATTTTCAAAAAAATATCGATTTTATATCTACATTAGCATTCTTTATCATTTATAATACCTAGATACGTTTTAAAATGCAATTTAAAGCAATTTTGGTTTCGATCATAGTAGGCTATTTTCAAAAAAATATCGATTTTATATCTATATTAGCATTCTTTATCATTTATAATACATAGATATGTTTTAAAATGCAATTTAAAGCATTTTTGGTTTCGATCGTAGTAGGCTATTTTCAAAAAAAATATTGATTTTATATCTATATTAGCATTCTTTATCATTTACAATACCCAGATATGTTTTAAAATGCAATTTAAAGCATTTTTGGTTTCGATCATAGTAGGCTATTTTCAAAAAAATATTGTTTTTAAATCTACATTAGCATTCTTTATCATTTATAATACCTAGATATGTTTTAAAATGCAATTTAAAGCATTTTTGGTTTCGAACATAGTAGGCTTTTTTAAAAAAAATATCGATTTTATATCTATATTAGCATTCTTTATCATTTATAATACCCAGATATGTTTTAAAATGCAATTTAAAGCATTTTTGGTTTCGATCATAGTAGGCTATTTTCAAAAAAATATTGTTTTTAAATCTACATTAGCATTCTTTATCATTTATAATACCTAGATATGTTTTAAAATGCAATTTAAAGCAATTTTGGTTTCGATCATAGTAGGCTTTTTTCAAAAAAATATCGATTTTATATCTATATTAGCATTCTTTATCATTTATAATACCTTAATAAGTTTTAAACTGCATTTTTGGTTTCGATCATAGAAGGCTATTTTCAAAAAAAAAAATATCGATTTTATATCTATATTAGATTTTAAAATGCAATTTAAAGCAATTTTTGGTTTCGATCATAGTAGGCTTTTTTCAAAAAATATCGATTTTATACCTATATTAGCATTCTTTATCATTTATAATACCTAGATATATTTTAAAATGCAATTTAAAGCATTTTTGGTTTCGATCATAGTAGGCTATTTTCAAAAAAAATTATCGATTTTATATCTATATTAGCATTCTTTATCATTTATCATACCTAAATATGTTTTTATAATGCATTTTAAAGCATTTTTGGTTTCGATCATAGTAGGCTATTTTCAATAAAATATCGATTTTATATCTTTATTAGCATTCTTTATCATTTATAATACCTAGATACGTTTTAAAATGCAATTTAAAGCATTTTTGGTTTCGATCATAGTAGGCTATTTTCAAAAATATATCGATTTTAAATCAACATTAGCATTCTTGATCATTTAAAATACCTAGAAATATAAAATGCAATTTAAAGCATTTTTGGTTTTGATCATAGTAGGCTATTTTCAAAAAATATTGATATTAAATCTACATTAGCATTCTTTATCATTTATAATACCTAGATATGGGGGTGGTGCAGAATCCAAACGGAATTAACGGAATTAATTCCTTTAATTCCGTTAAAAATAGCGTAATTAATTACGTTACATAATTCCGTTAGGTTACGTATTTATCGGAATAAATTCCGTTCTTTAAAAAAATTACGTTTGTTTACGTTTTTAGCGGAATTCTTATATGATTTATTTTTAAAAAATGAAAATAGAAAATTGAATGAAAAAGAGAATTTAATGAAATTAAATAGTAAATATTCAAAAATCAAATCATTTTTATATTTATACTTTTGCTAATTGCTCAAGAAATTCATATTCATCGATTTCATTTGCTTCCAACAAAACTAGGGCTGTTTCAAAAGGTATTGTCAAGCGGCTTCTGTCTATTTGTTGTGATGATCGTTGGATGTCAGATATAAGTGAATTTGTTGTATGAGATGCTAACTTTTGCAGTCCTTGAAGAAAGTCCCACGGGGAAGGATTTATTTTGATGAGGCGCTTTACTAAATTATTCGTACCCTCTAAATGATTGTTGGTGCGGAATTGCAAGTCACTTACAGACCACTCTTCAACAGAATACCTTTCTAACCAAGTTGCTTCAAAATATTCAATGAACTTTGAAAATTCTTTTGTCAATTTCTGAGATTTAATGTAGTTTTTAATTTCCTCGTATCCTTTAAGAACTCGATCGACAGGCAATAACGGTAACCTCATGAAAAGTTTTAAGATAAATCGATTTGTGGGATTCTTACTTATTTTTCCTTTTGCATAATCTCGCAATGCTTTATTCATATGGAACATACATCCGCGAACATCAATTGATGGCCAAACTTGTATTGCTGCTTTCCGTTGAGCCTTCTCGAAATCGCACATTAAACTTATAGGTGTACGTTGCGTTCCGTCGAACGATAAGACTGCATCTCGGATATGACTCAATACGTCTACGTAATCACTACTTCTCCTTCGTGGCATTATCACAAATGCAAAAGCTCTCGGTTTACCTGCCGCTTCAGCCATTATAATCATTAACTGCTGTGTGTGAAAAGGCACAATTTGGAAGGTTGAATCCATGAACATCACAAAATTTGTATTAATGTGTTTCACTATGATTTGATTAGCAAATACGATGAATTTTTCATCAATATTTCCTTGATAAAACTGTGTTTTCCTGTATGTTCCATACTTTTGTTGAACGAAGTTATTTTCTTCAAGTAGTTGTGACAATTGAGCTAAGTTTTGGCAACATGGCATAATACTTCTCCTTAATCTTTGAACTATGTGACGTGTGTGTGTCCATTCGAACAAGCCTGCAGCATTCAAACTTAACGATCCTGATATTTCATCGTAAATATCCTTCAAAGGCCTTGTGGTTTTAAGAGCCTGTTCTTTAAACTCATTCATTGCCATCTCATATTCAGCTTGTACTCCATCAGAGTGATTCTCATAATGTAATTGTAAATTCGTTCTTGTGAATTGATTATTTTCAATTTTACCTCGACATGTACAGTTAAGATTTACACAACTATAGTAAGAAATTTTTGAATTCCAGGTATCTGCCTTGTAAATAGCATCTTCTTTTGCAAAATAAATCCTTTGAATTTTTGCACCCTGTTGCTTTAAAACTGTAAAATTCATATTTCTGAAAATAAAAGGAAAAAAAACATTAGTGAATTATTTCGATTTTAATCTTTTTATTTAATACCTGGATAAAATCAAAGAAATTCAAAGATAGTAATATTAATAATCCTGTTTAGATTCCGATATTTAATAACTATTCCGTTTAAACGGAATTTTCTTTCTCGCGAACAGATGTTTACACTTTACTAGTTGAAACAAGATTAAATTGTAATTTTCTAAGTCGTCGTAATTTATACTTAAAAAATTCCGCTAGATCGGAATTAAAAAAGTATAAATTACAACGACTCAGAAAAAAATCGTCATTCTGGTTTCAACTTTCAAAGTATAAACATCATTTCTGTCATCAAAAAAATTCCGCTATAACAGAATTTTTGTTAAATTACACCAATTAGGTAAGAAAATTCCGCTAAGACGGAAGAAATATTATTAAACGTAATCTAATAGGAAAATTATTCTTACAGCTGCAATGGATAATTCAAATATAATATTGATTCGATTTACGAAAGAAGAAGTCAATAGTCATACAGTCAGTTTCAATGGAGCTATATCATTAAAACACAAGGGTAGGGGCAAGAAGATCATAGTTGACGGGGATGCACAAACAGAGCAAGAAAAGGAAGCTAACAAATCAAAAATTCCTTACGACGATAATTTGCACAGGAAATTAACCCAAGCATCAACACCAGGAAGCTTCTTCAAAGTCACCGATGGCTTCAAGGCTAATAGTAAGGTAAATGAGGACTCATCGTATTGTTTACATCCATTGTGAGGCACATAAAAACAGAATGCCTATTCGCTACAAAATCAGCGATCATCAAATAGATCACCCATTAATTATGCATTGGTATGTAAAATGCGATTCATGTAAGAAGATGATTCGAGAATATCAATTTAATCAAGTCACAAAAGAAATGGAAAATCATCCAGAACTAATCCCGGAGATACCTGAAACACCAAAAAGTTCCAGGACTCAATCCAATCAAACTCGGGCTGAATCAAAAATGGAACACATTTTTAAATCATTAGAAGAAGTAATTAACATTCAGCTAAATCGTGTCAAAGATCGAGTTCTAGCAGTGGCAGCACAAGACGATAAAGACCCTTTAGAATTACTAAAGCAAAATGGAGAGGCATTTGGTGCAAATATTGGACGGTTGTTTGCAAAATGTATAGAATCAATTGACAACGAAGAAGATTGCGAGACTGAAGAACAAGAAGGAACGCAAAACGCATTGACAACAGAGGAACTACAACCAAAACGAAAATTAAGCGCCGTTGCGCTTGTTTTACAAAAGAAACAACGAGATAATTTAGCTAAAAATAATAGAATTTAAGGGTTAATAAGTGATGTAATGAAAAAAAGCAAGAAAATTAGAAATAAAACTAAGAATAAATAGTATATATATTGCGAAAAGAGCAATACCATAAAAAAACAAATTTTAATTTTTCAAAGTTTTTTGCTTGAAAGTTAGCGGAACAAATTCCGCTAGGGAACGTATCTAAAAAAATAATTCTGATAAGCTAAGTTTTTTACGGAATTAATTCCGATATGTTACGTTCAAAAATTCCGTTAAGTTACGTCTTTTATAAGAATTAATTCCGCAAAATATATCGGAATTTAACGGAATTATTATATCGGAATTTAACGGAATTAATTCCTTTTGAATTCTGCACTACAATCCCTAGATATGTTTTAAAATGCAATTTAAAGCATTTTTGGTTTCGATCATAGTAGGCTATTTTCAACAAAAATATCGATTTTATATTTATATTAGCATTCTTTATCATTTATAATACCCAGATATGTTTTAAAATTCAATTTAAAGCATTTTTGGTTTCGATCATAGTAGGCTATTTTCAAAAAAATATTGATTTTAAATCTACATTAGCATTCTTTATCATTTATAATACCTAGATATGTTTTAAAATGCAATTTAAAGCATTTTTGGTTTCGATCATAGTAGGCTATTTTCAACAAAAATATCGATTTTATATCTATATTAGCATTCTTTATCATTTATAATACCTTGATAAGTTTTAAAATGCAATTTAAAGCAATTTTGGTTTCGATCATAATAGGCTATTTTCAAAAAAATATCGATTTTATATCTACATTAGCATTCTTTATCATTTATAATGTTTTAAAATGCAATTTAAAGCATTTTTGGTTTCAATCATAGTAGGCTATTTTCACAAAAATGTCGATTTTATATCTATATTAGCATTTTTTATCATTTATAATGTTTTAAAATGCAATTTAAAGCATTTTTGGTTTCGAACATAGTAGGTTATTTTCAAAAAAAAAATCGATTTTATATCTATATTAGCATTCTTTATCATTTATAATACCTAGATATGTTTTAAAATGCATTTTAAAGCATTTTTGATTTCGATCATAGTAGGCTATTTTCAAAAAAATATTGACTTTAAATCTACATTAGCATTCTTTATCATTTATAATACCTAGATAAGTTTTAAAATGCAATTTAAAGCAATTTTGGTTTCGATCATAATAGGCTATTTTCAAAAAAATATCGATTTTATATCTACATTAGCATTCTTTATCATTTATAATACCTAGATACGTTTTAAAATGCAATTTAAAGCAATTTTGGTTTCGATCATAGTAGGCTATTTTCAAAAAAATATCGATTTTATATCTACATTAGCATTCTTTATCATTTATAATACCTAGATAAGTTTTAAAATGCAATTTAAAGCAATTTTGGTTTCGATCATAATAGGCTATTTTCAACAAAAATATCGATTTCATATCTATATTAGCATTCTTTATCATTTATAATACCTTGATAAGTTTTAAAATGCAATTTAAAGCAATTTTGGTTTCGATCATAATAGGCTATTTTCAACAAAAATATCGATTTTATATCTATATTAGCATTCTTTATCATTTATAATACCTTGATAAGTTTTAAAATGCAATTTAAAGCAATTTTGGTTTCGATCATAGTAGGCTATTTTCAAAAAAATATCGATTTTATATCTATGTTAACATTCTTTATCATTTATAATACATAGATATGTTTTAAAATGCAATTTAAAGCATTTTGGTTTCGATCGTAGTAGGCTATTTTCAAAAAAAATATCGTTTTATATCTATATTATCATTCTTTATCATTTATAATACCTAGATAAGTTTTAAAATGCAATTTAAAGCAATTTTGGTTTCGATCATAATAGGCTATTTTCAAAAAAATATCGATTTTATATCTATATTAGCATTCTTTATCATTTATAATACCTTGATAAGTTTTAAAATGCAATTTTAAGCGTTTTTGGTTTCGATCATAGTAGGCTATTTTCACAAAAATGTCGATTTTATATCTACATTAGCATTTTTTATCATTTATAATGTTTTAAAATGCAATTTAAAGCATTTTTGGTTTCGATCATAGTAGGCTATTTTCACAAAAATGTCGATTTTATATCTATATTAGCATTTTTTATCATTTATAATGTTTTAAAATGCAATTTAAAGCATTTTTGGTTTCGAACATAGTAGGTTATTTTCAAAAAAAAATCGATTTTATATCTATATTAGCATTCTTTATCATTTATAATACCTAGATATGTTTTAAAATGCATTTTAAAGCATTTTTGATTTCGATCATAGTAGGCTATTTTCAAAAAAATATTGACTTTAAATCTACATTAGCATTCTTTATCATTTAAAATACCTAGATATGTTTTAAAATGCATTTTAAAGCATTTTTGGTTTTGATCGTAGTAGGCTATTTTCAAAAAAAATATTGATTTTAAATCTACATTATCATTCTTTATCATTTATAATACCTAGATAAGTTTTAAAATGCAATTTAAAGCATTTTTGGTTTCGATCATAATAGGCTATTTTCAAAAAAATATCGATTTTATATCTATATTAGCATTCTTTATCATTTATAATACCTTGATAAGTTTTAAAATGCAATTTTAAGCGTTTTTTGTTTCGATCATAGTAGGCTATTTTAACAAAAATGTCGATTTTATATCTACATTAGCATTTTTTATCATTTATAATGTTTTAAAATGCAATTTAAAGCATTTTTGGTTTCGATCATAGTAGGCTATTTTCACAAAAATGTCGATTTTATATCTATATTAGCATTTTTTATCATTTATAATGTTTTAAAATGCAATTTAAAGCATTTTTGGTTTCGAACATAGTAGGTTATTTTCAAAAAAAAATCGATTTTATATCTATATTAGCATTCTTTATCATTTATAATACCTAGATATGTTTTAAAATGCATTTTAAAGCATTTTTGATTTCGATCATAGTAGGCTATTTTCAAAAAAATATTGACTTTAAATCTACATTAGCATTCTTTATCATTTATAATACCTAGATAAGTTTTAAAATGCAATTTAAAGCATTTTTGGTTTCGATCATAGTAGGCTATTTTCAAAAAAATATCGATTTTATATCTATATTAGCATTCTTTATCATTTATAATACCTAGATATGTTTTAAAATGCATTTTAAAGCATTTTTGGTTTCGATCATAGTAGGCTATTTTCAAAAAAATATTGATTTTAAATCTACATTAGCATTCTTTATCATTTATAATACCTAGATAAGTTTTAAAATGCAATTTAAAGCATTTTTGGTTTCGAACATAGTAGGTTATTTTCAAAAAAATATCGATTTTATATCTATATTAGCATTCTTTATCATTTATAATACATAGATATGTTTTAAAATGCATTTTAAAGCATTTTTGATTTCGATCGTAGTAGGCTATTTTCAAAAAATATCGATTTTATATTTATATTAGCATTCTTTATCATTTATAATACCTAGATAAGTTTTAAAATGCAATTTATAGCATTTTTGGTTTCGATCATAGAAGGCTATTTTCAAAAAAAAAATATCGATTTTATATCTATATTAGCATTCTTTATTATTTATAATACCTAGATAAGTTTTAAAATGCAATTTAAAGCAATTTTGGTTTCGATCATAATAGGCTATTTTCAAAAAAATATCGATTTTATATCTACATTAGCATTCTTTATCATTTATAATACCTAGATACGTTTTAAAATGCAATTTAAAGCAATTTTGGTTTCGATCATAGTAGGCTATTTTCAAAAAAATATCGATTTTATATCTATATTAGCATTCTTTATCATTTATAATACCCAGATATGTTTTAAAATGCAATTTAAAGCATTTTTGGTTTCGATCATAGTAGGCTATTTTCAAAAAAATATTGTTTTTAAATCTACATTAGCATTCTTTATCATTTATAATACCTAGATATGTTTTAAAATGCAATTTAAAGCATTTTTGGTTTCGAACATAGTAGGCTATTTTCAAAAAAAATTATCGATTTTATATCTATATTAGCATTCTTTATCATTTATAATACCTAGATAAGTTTTAAAATGCAATTTAAAGCAATTTTTGGTTTCGATCATAGTAGGCTATTTTCAAAAAAAATATCGATTTTATATCTATATTAGCATTCTTTATCATTTATAATACCTAGATATATTTTAAAATGCAATTTAAAGCATTTTTGGTTTCGATCATAGTAGGCTATTTTCAAAAAAAATTACGATTTTATATCTATATTAGCATTCTTTATCATTTATCATACCTAGATATGTTTTAAAATGCAATTTAAAGCATCTTTGGTTGCGATCATAGTAGGCTATTTTCAAAAAACTTTCGATTTTTTATTTATATTAGCATTCTTTATAATTTATAATACCTAGATACGTTTTAAAATGCAATTTAAAGCAATTTTGGTTTCGATCGTAGTAGGCTATTTTCAAAAAAATATCGATTTTATATCTACATTAGCATTTTTTATCATGTATAATACCTAGATATGTTTTAAAATGCAATTTAAAGCATTTTTGGTTTCGATCATAGTAGGCTTTTTTCAAAAACAATTATCGATTTTATATCTATATTAGCATTCTTTATCATTTATCATACCTAGATATGTTTTAAAATGCAATTTAAAGCATCTTTGGTTGCGATCATAGTAGGCTATTTTCAAAAAACTTTCGATTTTTTATCTATATTAGCTTTCTTTATAATTTATAATACCTAGATACGTTTTAAAATGCAATTTAAAGCAATTTTGGTTTCGATCGTAGTAGGCTATTTTCAAAAAATATCGATTTTATATCTATATTAGCATTCTTTATCATTTATCATACCTAGATATGTTTTAAAATGCAATTTAAAGCATTCTGGTTGCGATCATAGTAGGCTATTTTCAAAAAACTTCCGATTTTATATCTATATTAGCATTCTTTATCATTTATAATACCTTAATAAGTTTTAAACTGCAATTTA